ACCGGACGGACATTTATCTTAATCGTGATAATTATGAATGAGAAATACTTTTCCGTTATGAAGATATGATCATTAGTTGATTTTCACAAAATGGCGCCTGGATGACGTCACGATAATTTTGACTCTCTAAAAAGTCACGCAGTTCTAAGTTAGACTAAGATCTATCATCATGGTAAGTTTCATGATAATGGCTTTATTCAGTCTTGAGATATCCTGCGAACAAATTCGAGGAAGAATAATAATAAATAAATAAATAAATAATAATAAAAATCTTGACGAAATCAAAAGGTGATACGTCTACGTACGTATCACCTAAATAAATAAATAATAATAAAAATCTTGACGAAATCAAAAGGTGATACGTCTACGTACGTATCACCTAATAATTCTGTAGGAATGTACATTTATTGAAAGCAATAAAACACCACAGAGAGTTAAAGTGAAAAATCAGAATCTTGAATTGTTCCCCAAAAGTGTGAAAATCACTTATCAAGATTTTAAAAAAAAGTGTGAAAATAACGACCATTAGTTGTCAAATCGACTTATTGCAATCACCTACTAATAGTCTGATTTTCAGACACTTTTACCGAATGGTCATATGTTTTGTGCTGCACTAAGATTCGATCAGTTTCATTTTTGCCATTACAAGTAGTGGGTTATTGATGTAAACTAATGCGCATGTACCTCTAACACAGCTAATTTTATGTATGTTATTACCACAAAAAAAAAATGTCAGTCAGTCACTCAATAGAATCTGACAGTGAAGTCTATAAGTTTAATGGGTTTCCTTGCAAAATTTGAATACTAGGACACTTCTAATGTTTCAATTTCACAGATAGAATATACATGACATATTCATAATTCCTGCAAAGTTCTACAGAATTTGATGTTGGCTGCAAAAGGGACATAGTATCTTTAACAGTGGTTAACTTCTTCAAATTACCGTTTTAAATCAACTGTCCGGATGTAATGTGCACATTGCTTCTATGTTAATAAATTTTTTGTCTTTCTTTTTGTAAGGAAGATAGTGTAATAGTGTAAAGATGAGTTATTTTCCCCCTTTGGATGCAATTTGATTTTAATATTTAAAACGGAATAAGGTATGGCAATACCTCAGGCATTTAGCTTATAAATATTGCCATACATCTGTGTATCCAGGGGCGGAACCAGGGCCCCCCCCCCCTGGCAAAAAAAAAAGAGAAGGAAAAAAAAGAAGGGAAAAAGAAGGAAAAAAAGAAGGAAAAAAAAAGAAGGAAATAAAAGGGGAAAGATATCAAAGCAGGCGCGTATCCAGGGGGTGGTGGGGGCGGTCACCCCCACCCCCCCCCCCCCCCAAAAAAAAAAAAAAACGCCGGCCAAAAAAAAAAAAAGAGAAAGAAGAAAGGAAGAGGACGTAGGAAGAAAAAGGATTGAGAGTCGAGAACGGTACAACGAATCGTTTTCTTTCTCTAATAATTTAATGAAACGTCAAAGCTTCCGCGCGAGAGGGGGGCCCGCCCCCCCCCCCCACCACTCTGGGTTCGGAATGACCGCATGCGTGTTACAAAAATGTCCGATAAAGGGTACTTTTCACGCACCAAAGTCCGGCTCGTAGTACACAAAAGTGACTAAGGGGGTGTTTTCAAAAGGAGGGAACACGCATATGCGTACCCTAAATAACACTGAGTGGGGGGGGGGGGAGGGGGGAAACCGAATTCAGACAAGGATTAAGAGTCTAGAATGGTACAACGAATCGTCTTCTTTCTTTAATAATCTAATGAAACGTCAGAGCTTCCGCGCTACGCGCGGAGAAAGGGGAACTTGATTTAAACAAGGATTAAGAGTCGAGAACGGTACAACGAATCGTCTTCTTTCTGTAATAATTTAATGAAACGTCAAAAGAAACTGAATTTAGACAAGGATTAAGAGTCTAGAACGGTCCTACGAATCGTTTTCTTTCTCTAATAATTTAATGAAACGTCAAAGCTTCCGCGCTTCGCCCTTCCCCCCCCCCCCACTCCGGGGTCGGAATGACCGCATGCGTGTTACCAAAATGTCCGGTAAAGGGGTACTTTTCACGCACCAAAGTCCGGCTTGTAGTACACAACATTGACTTTACACAACGGACGAGTCTAGAATGGTACAACGAATCTTCTTCTTTCTTTAATAATCTAATGAAACGTCAGAGCTTTCGCGCTACGCGCGGGGGAAGGGGAACTTGATTCAAACAAGGATTAAGAGTCGCGGACAGTACAACGAATCGTCTTCTTTCTCTAATAATTTAATGAAACGTCAAAAGAAACTAAATTTAGACAAGGACTAAGAGTCTAGAACGGTGCTACGAATCGTCTTCTTTCTCTAATAATTTAATGAAACGTCAAAGCTTCAGAGCTTTGAAAAGAGGGGAAAATCCCCCTCCCTGCACCCACCGCCCTAGGGAGCGCGCATCGCACGTTTTGCGTGCTCACTACCGCCCCCTAAAATGAAATCCTGGCTACACGCTTGTATCAAACGTATCAAAATATGCTCATCTGACCGTAATTAAAAGCCTAAAACCCCTTGACTTCCGGTGGCTTTGCCCCCTGGACCCCACCTACGGCCCTAAGGCGGACGGCTGGGTGCTAATCTGGCGGTAATTTAATGCTTAAAACCCCTGAGCATCTGGAGTCTCGGCCCCCTGGACCTCACGCCAATTAGTGTCCTGCCAGTGTCACAAAGGTATTAAAATATGTGCATGTGACCGTAATTAAATGTATAAAACCCCTAAGTTTCCGGGGCTCCAACCCCTCGACCCCACCAGGGGCCCTAAGGCGGCCCCTGCATGCTTGTCTGACCGTAATCTATTGCCTAACACCCTTGAGTCTCCGGGGGCTCCGCCTCCTGGACCACACGCCAATTCGTGACCTGCCAGTTTCACAAATAAGGTATAAAAATATGCTCATCTGACCGGAATTTATTGCCCAAAACACCTGAGCTTCCGGGGGCTCCGCCCCCGGACCCAACGCCAATTCTTGACCTGCCAGTGTCACAAATAAAGTATAAGATTATGCTCATCTGACGATAAATTGATGTATAAACCCTTGAGCTTCTCAGGGCTCCGCCGCCTGGACCCAACACCAATCTGTGTCCTGCCAATGTAACAAATAAGGTACGAAAATATGCTCATCTGACCGTAGTTTATTGCCCAAAAGCCCTAGGCTTCCGTGGCACCGCCCCCTGGACCCAACACCAATATGTGTCCTGCCAGTGTCACAAATAAGGTGTCAAAATATGCTCATCTGACAGTAATTTATTACTCAAAACCCCTAAGCTTCCGGGGACTTCGCCCCTGGACCCCACGCCAATTCGTGACCTGCCAGTGTCACAAATAGGGTATAAAATATGCTCATCTGACGATAATAAAACCCCTGAGCTTCCAGGAGCTACGCCCCCTGGACCCAACACCAATTTGTGTCCTGCCAGTGTCACAAATAAGGTGCATAAGGTGCAAATTGCATGCGATTTTTCAAATATTCGAGGGCCAAAAAAGAGCTCACTACCATGATGTAGTTAAGAAAAGGGAAGGACGAAAACGAGAAATGCATATACAGTGTAGGGCTTTATCAACATAGGGGCTCACAATTTGGCTATATATTTTTTTTCTCCTTCAAATATTGTCAAACTATACATCAATTTTAAAGCTCTTGATGAGAGAAATTCAATGGTGAAATGATGATTGAAATAGGATATTGCATTATTATTAAAGTTATGGCTTGTCAAAGTACTCATCTCTTAATTGTAAATCTTATGCCCCACTTCTTGGAAGATAAGTAACTATGATCTGCTCGTTAACTTTAATCTTTATCATCAGGCTATTAAAAGTATACTACTTAAAACAAATTACAGCTTTTGATATGAGGAATGCAGTGATGAAGGTATCGCAGTAGGAAGTTTCTAGTAGAGGCTAGAGTCGGTCGGTCATACCGAATCCTGACCGTCGCCATCGGGTCCCGGATTCGCTTTTGGAAGCCGATGCTCCGATAAAAATTATGAAATATATAAGATATTGCAGTATTGCACACCACACAAATTAATCCACCTTAAAACTCTTAAGTATTTAATTTTTACCAATATGTTTTTTCATACTCTAGCTCATCCTGAATCAATCCGAACTGCCGATATAAATATGGGTTGCAAAGCAGTTCACTGTTCGCGGCATGCATGGGGTTGTTACCAGCGGAGTTGGAAAAAAAGCTAGCTACTGGTCGGGTCTCAGCAGGATGAATAAATTAGGTTAAAAAAACACGTTAATGTTGGAATTATAAAACGGCTTTCTAAAAAATTCTTCTTTATAACATACCGATCGAATATTTTTTTTAACACAAAATTAATATTCCCCTCCTATGTTAAGCACGGCATGCTTTTTTTAATAGCTGATAATTACTTAATAATCATAACAAGTTTTGATACTGATAGCTGTTGCAAGGCAAGTTCGGACTAGTCACGGAAGGAATGTGCAATACACTTCATAAGCTGTAATGCGTCACTGTTACCGTCACCGTCACTCTCTTTCCTTAGTCCAGACTGCTGCTTCTATCTTATGCATGCTCCACCGAGATCTCTGCATACGATGCAGTACATGATACCCCTTATTTCGCGCTGTGAAAGAAACCCTGCCGCCCCGATTGACAACTACCGAAACAATTCACAAAATCATTGTTATCTGCCCAATTACTGTATTTCTCGAATATGAACCCTGCGAGGCACAGCTTCTTGGCTGGTCCCAGCAATTCTTCCTAAGGGCGGGTTTCAGGAGGCGGGGGCAACAAAATTTATGGCGTCGAAAACCCCCCCAAATTGTTCACTATTATTAGATAGATATATACAGAGAATTGAAATCCTCTAAAGGATCTTCAATCCATCTGCTTTATGTACGTAATGTAGATATTTCTGAATAATATTTTCAGGCACTGTTGCCCACGATGTCATCACCATTTTCCAGAGGGCTACATTTCTGTCGAGTTCGAAGGACATCTTACACCATGGGTGGATTTTGCTTTCTCTACCTGCTCCTGATCCTCTTGATGAGATCTGGTGATGTTGAAACCAATCCAGGTCCTAACACTGCAGAAAGGTATGCATACTGGCTTACTTCGAGTCAATGGGTCATCGCGTCCGGTCGGGTGGTTGCGTTACACAACCTTGCATAAAACAAAAGATCATGTGAAGATGCACGTTCAGGATGCGATCTTTAGTAGATTTACTGAAAGGTTTTCACAAAGTGTCACGTAATTTGGACCAGACCATTTGAAGATGAGAAGGATTTGTTTCACAAACATATCCCCTGACATTTCATGAATAAATGGCATGTTAATTTTCACAAAAGGCCGGGTAACGCTACAACCTGACCCGACATGATGACCCGATGATTCAAAGTAAGCTAGCCTTTATACTAGTAACCTTTGTGGGTTAACAATAGAGTTTAGTTCTGGTCACGCGATTGCATTGCAAAAGAAACAGTGTGGAAGTGATTCAAAAGGTTGATCATGCATGTAGCGCAACAGTATTGGTATATACTGTTTGGTTTTGGAGTCGTCAAAATTATTATTTGGCCCAGTCTTGCTAAATGTCACATGCACTGGACACAGAAATGTGTATATAGGACTACACAAACATGTGTCGTGAAAGTGTGGTCCACATCAAATTATTTGTCATATTTTGAGTATGAGGGCATTTGAAGAACCATCTTTTTCAAGGAACTTTTTTTCTATGATACTCTTCCACACCAACATAAATAGAATGAAAAGGCTCACAAAATATTTACACCTTTCTCAGAACTTGACTTTCTCTTTGTATGTGACACTTTAAGTTATCATGTGAATACAAAATATGCATATAGACTATTCAATGATGCAGATAATTATCATGATGATGAAGGTAATAATAATAATAATAATAATAAAACTAATACAAATAGTAGTAGTAGTAGTACTTATAGTAATACTACTACTAGTAGTAGTAGTAGTAGTAGTATTAGTAGTAGAAGTTGTAGTATATTAGTAGAAGTAATAATAGTAATAATAATGATAATATGTACAGTCAAACCTGTCTATAGCGACCGCCTAAGAGAAACACAAAAAGTGGTCATTGTAGACAGGTTGGCGTTGGCCACCATTTTAAGCCGATCGATAAATCTAACAATGCAAGTGTCTTTTCCGGTGCTTAAAAATTAAATAAACAAAGATTGTTTTTAGTCAAAATAAAAATACTAAATGATTTAACATAATTTCATTTCTTTGAAATTGTCCAGCATATCAAACTATATTCGAAATAAATGCAATGAACGAGCCTGAATAATTAATTAGGCGGAATGATTACCTTTGCCAGAACAATACCGCACTTACCTGCAATTTGGGGCAGTATGTTTCAAATGTTAATATCACAGGCAACATATTCTGATATCCCCAGCTTGTTAAATTGCACGCTCGAGCACGTAATGCAAATTGTTGAGTGTCACATGAAAGCTTGTCAGCCAATAGGATGCTCTCCAACTAAAATACTATCATACCCAATTGATTTATTGTTCATTTTACAGTACTGTCAGTGAAATGGAGTTCCTGAAGCTGGCCCAGGATATCGATCCATCTTACTACTACAATGTAGGGATATCTCTAGGGTTCTCCCATGCTCAGCTTAAGGCAAACCTGATTGAGAATTCGAAGAACTTCAAAGATGCCTTTATGGATGTCTTTATGAAATGGAATGTCAAGCAGCAACCTCCACACTCAAACAAACGACAACTTTTGGCAGACAAACTACAAGAGATTGACTTGGGTGGCCTATCAGACGGATTACTTGATGGACCTCCATTTCCAAAGAGCACAGGTAAACAGACTCTAAGTCTTGCTACACCAGAAGACATAGAAAACCATTCATAAAAGCGAAGTCAATTTTTACCATTTAGATAGTGATCGTGCTCTGTGTTCTAAACATTTGCCTCTGTTTACAGAAGTGTCCAATTTCATCAGGCCCCATGCATGTTTTAAAAATTTACTAATTAAACTTTAATAATCTTAGATATTTTCTGGACACAAAAATAGTACAGGTACTTTGAGTGACAGCAGAATTTAAAGTGTGTCAACTTTCTTTATGTCCACATGTTCTACAAACAAATTATATTATTTCGGGTCATTCCATTATGATAACTGTACTTATGCATCTGCTCACGGAAGGTAACGTGGGACAAATATGTTTTCGGGTTGTATGTCCATCCATCCTGCGTGTTTGCTATTGCGATATCTTAAGAAACACTTGAGGTATGAACTTCACACTTGTTGATAATATGTATCACCATAAGAAGATAATCTTCGATTAGATTTGGGTGTAAGTGGGTCATAGAGGTAAACTTTAGAAATTACAGGTTTTTTCCCTTCAAAGTAAGATGTGTGATTGTCGGGGAAACTCTGTATTGCTGAAATGTCGTAGGAAAAATTATGCCATTGATATTCATCTACTAGTTCCTGAATACAATAATTACTCAGATTTTAAATGTCCTTAAAATTGAATGTAGTCATATAAATTCAGACAAACGTGTAGGACTCCTTGAGTAAATGCACCTAGTCGTACATTGTAGGTCACACTATTAGCCTCAGGCCTTTTCAACCCTTGTAGATGTATATATGATCAAACTATGTTTATCTATACCAAGTGAATATGGATTATATATTACTTTTTAGGAGGGCCATCAAGACCGTCAGAATCACAGACCAAACAACTTCCTCCTGAACTTATTGAGCAGTGTGCAAATGATTTCAAGTTCAATTACAGGTCAACTCTCTGTAAGATCAGAGCTGATCCTCTCAAGCCTTCTTCACTTGTGGGTTTTGAAAAACTACACACAAATCTTGTATTGGAAGAAGAGGATGGAACTGGCAAGCAAATAATAGATTACAACAATTTTATTGATCTCAAAGTCAATGGAGAGTTCCCCAAGCGGATCTTGGTTCAGGGAGAGGCAGGGGCTGGAAAAACTACATTTTGTGCTAAGATTGCCTGGGACTGGATTGAAGTGAGGCATTTCAGTCAGTTTGTGTGGGTCTTGATTGTTCCTCTACGTAAATTTAAGCAACACACTATTGGCGAGATTGCAAAGTCTTATCTGGCCAAAAACAATCCAGCAAAGGTTTCTCAGATAACTGAGTATATCCGGTCAAATCCTAACAAGGTATTTATCGCATTAGATGGGCTAGACGAATTAAGTGGCAAATTCATGAAGACAAAATCTTGCGAATCACAACCTTCTTATAATATGCAACCTCAGCCATCACAGCAAAGTGTCACCCTCTCAGAGGCATGTCGAAGCTCATCTGAGACTGATGACATTGGACTTGAAGATATTCTTTGTTCAGATCAACTTGCCTCTTGTCCAGTCTTGGTGACCACTCGCCCATGGAGAGCAGTAGAGATTAGATCAGATGGTGATCTAATGAAGCTCTACACATTCATTCATGTTGAGGGTTTTAACAGAGCTAATTTGTCAGTTTACATTCACAAATACTTTCCAAAGGATGAGGATAAAGCAAATCGGCTTATCCAGTTCACCAGTGAGAATGATGTCATATCTGAAAACATGGCCCACTTTCCTATATATGTAGCCATGTTGTGTCTTATGTGGAAAGAACGTGACAAGCAAAAACTAAAGGAAATGAAATCATTGAAAACCTTTTCTCAGATTTTCAAAGAAATGATTGCCTTTCTTAAAGAACATTATGCTCAGAAAGAGGTGAATAAAGTAGGCAGCCCCTCACTTATTGCCTATTTGAAAAGAATTGAGGAGCTCCTTGGACCTATTGCCAAACAGGCCCTCAATGGTCTGCTAGAAAATACATTGGTTTTTGGTGAAGATGATTTCGAAGTATTCCCAGAATCCAAGGACACTGCTTGCAGGGTCGGGATTTTGTCTCAGGAGGACAGAATTACTGCTGACACGGATACACATGAGAGGAATTCTCATGTGCAATTGCCAGTTTTCTTTCCTCACAAACTGTTTCAGGAGTACATGGCTGGAGTCCATCTTGCTTCCCTATATGAGTCAGATTGTGATGAATTCAAAAGGCTGATTGATCAAGTAGTGCTGCCAAAGAAGGAGGAGTTTAGGTATCTCCTGTACTTCACTGTGTCACAGAACAGAAGTATTGCAACCTATGTAATGAACTCTATGCTTCAAGGACTAAGGGCTTCGCAGAAACAGCTAGATTTAATTGTTGATGTAGCCTTTGAGAGTCAGGACCCAGATGTTGCAGCCTTGGTGAAGGACAGGGTTTCATCACTGAATATTGAGGTGGCCATATCCCAAAACACGACAGCACACACTGTAGCTGGTTATGCTTTCATTGGACCACATGTGGTAAGTTTAATCATAGTTTGATAAACAAAATTAGTTCATCCATTTTGGTACAAGTTCTTACTTTTATACCTTTTGCACTTTTCTTACAGTACAACAGTATACTTATGGAAGGGTGCATCTCGACTAGCACATGTGCTTTTATCTTCCCCTTTTTACCAACCAATAGTTTCTGTTCCTATATATAAATATCATTGTATGAAATGTATTACTGTATTGCTGTTGGCAAAGAAGTCAAATCAAAGAGGTTTGAACAGTAATAATTTGGAAACTAGAACTGCAATCGTAGAATGAAATGCATGCATTAATGCCCATATTTCTATTTTGTTAAGCAGATGAATGATCCTATATGTACATGTCATTACGCACGTATGGTTTTCCATATATTTTGGCCTATACGACCTTGTATGCTATCATACTAATACATGACGCATATAGTGCAGGGTATGAAATGTCATCTAAAACGTCCCGCTTGACAGATTTTCAAAATGAGACAATGAGATGCCCTGAGTTTGGCCCCCAGAATGTACTTGCAAAATTCCAAGATAAAAAATAACTAAAAAAGGGGACAAAATCAATCTGAAAATTGACGTTATAGCCAATGTTACAGCAACGTTGGTTAGAAACCCTGCGTAATCCGATTTGTGCCCTGTTTCAATTTCGATTTACTCAAAATTTTCTGAGTGAACATAAATGTATACTGTTTATGTTACCAAACTTGGCAGGCAGTTGTGAAGTAGGTTGATTCACATCTCTGCTAAGTTTCATAGACCTAGGTATAAAGTTCGTAAATTGAGCACATGTTGAAGTTATTTCAGGATTTTTCGTGACAAGTACGGGTTTTGAGAGCAATTTCTCGCAAAGTCGGTTAGTAGTGAGGTGCATCTGTTTTTTTTCTTCTTTTTTTTTCTTCTGAAAAAGGGATATCTTGAAGTATCTAAACCCGAATATGACATAGCTATTGCCACATAAACACATCCATTTTCCAAACTTTAGAGGTTGCTATTCATATCATAAGTAACCATTGATCTGTGAAATTCGGCAGAAACGTGGGCAATGGAAAGATAAAGATGCTGTAAAAAATTCGGACCTAATGGAATTGATATGTCAAAGTTATGGCAATTTGTCTTTTTCATTGGTCAATTTTTTAAAGAATTTATCAATTCTTGAAAGAGTTGGTTTTGGAGTTAAATTTAGAGTATGAAGATGGCATTTTTAAGAGCCATCTGTATGTCAGAGATTAAGAACAACTTTTGTACTATCTAGAGTAACTTGTTAGAAGTCTGTAGCATCTCGGATAGTGGAGGTAGGTAGGCCGAAAGAAAGGTATATGAAAACAGAGATGGGTAAATGCTGCCCTCTTACTCTCTGTAGTACGTTCTAGCAGTGCATCTTGGGCAACCTCTCATGTAAGTTACACATCTATGCCTAACATCCAACATCTATATTCTGCATTACATCAGTAATCACTTTGTCATTTTATCCAGGTTGGACTCCAAAGAGAGAGAGATTGTGGACCTACCATGTCACTTGATGTGGCAGAGATAATATCATGCTCCATGCAATCCTTGAAGAAAGCTTCTCTATCATGTGCATTCCATCAGTGTTTTTTTGAAACACTTGCAAAGAAAGAAAAAGAATCAAAGGTGAGCAGTTCATCCAAAATTGTGATGCATGTATGAGTGATTGATTTAATTTCATCCCATTACCACCTCTTCCCTTTTCTTATCTACATTTTACTTTTCTTTAATTCTTTTAAATGTCTCATATATGTTGGTTCTTTTAACAGAAGGATCATTGGTCTTTTCACACTTTTCACAGGCGGCAGTAGTGTTAACAAAAGCATTTAAGTGTGAATACTAACCGTGGAAACCTTGACGGTGGGCAGGGAGCACCATGTAAACAGTCGTATGCATGTACAACCTGAATGCTCTAAAAGAAACGCACATGTAGGAAGATCGCAACATACTTAAAAGGGAAGTCAACCCTGATATTAAGTTTGTTTTAATAAAAGCAGAAAAATAAGAGAAACAAATAAATGAAAGTTTGAGCAATATCTGATTAAAGATACACAAGTTGTTACAAGGAAGTTTTGAAACAAGAATTAAAGAAATTATTTATCGAATGATTATGTCTAGAAGTGGAATGGACTAAGTGCCCTTATAAAAAAAGTACCATGGCAACCATGGTTCTTTGTCCAAATTACCATCCACCATTCGAACCATGGTAAACATGGTATCAAAGAATGAAATTACAATAGTTTGATACCATGGTTAATGAAATTACCATTGTTTGAAACCATGGTATTAAGTTTGTTTTAATAAAAGCAGAAAAATAAGAGAAACAAAAACAATTGAAAGTTTGAGCAATATCCGATTAACGATACAAAAGTTGTTGCAAGGAAGTTTTGAAACAAGAATTGAAGAATTTTTTTTATCGAATGACTATGTCTAGAAGTGGAGTGGACTAAGTGCCCTTATAAATAAAAGTACCATGGCAACTATAGTTCTTTGTCCAAATTACCATCCACCATTCGAACCATGGTATCAAACAATGAAATTACCATGGTTCGAATGGTGGACGGTAATTTGGATAAATAACCATGGTTATCATGGTATTACCATGGTACTTTGTTTTCAAAGGGTGAAACTTTATGAAAGACACAAAAAAAAGCCGATGCCAATTTTTAAGATAAATACAAAATCTCATTAAAGGTTACATCCAATGGGAGGAAATAAAAAGGGAGAGTGATTCTTGCCTTTATTTTGGACTGTGATGGTTTTTAGTGTTATTCACATTCTTATTAATTTGCAAAGAGAGAATTTGCATAATCCTTACAACCTGGGATTAAGGATTGTATAATATATTTTGGCATGTTTACTAAAAGACAGATATATATGTATTTCTTAATACTAGAAATATTATAATGGTGAAAGTTAAACATTTATTATCATTATAATCATTATAATCATTATTGTATCCCCCGGCAGTATGCCGGTTGGGTACTTTGGATTCAGCAGCGTTACGCCGCCGCGTCATAATATTTTATTCTTATGTGCGCTCTAACTGCCACATTTCTTGACAGATTTCTCTCAAATTTTGTATGGAGGTGTCTCTTGGTATAATCTACACACCTATAACTTTTGGTGATGCTGCCCCCAGTGTTCCGTGTTCTATAGGGTAAAAAGCCATACATTTATTCCTGTGTGCGCTCTAACTGACACATTTCTTGACAGATTTCTTTCAAATTTTGTATGGAGGTGTATCTTGGTATAATCTACACACCTATAACTTTTGGTGATGCTGCCCTCAATGTTCCGTCTTCTATAGGGTAAAAGGCCAAATTTTATTGTTGTGTGCGCTCTAACTGCCACATTTCTTGACAGATTTCTTTCAAATTTTGTATGGAGGTGTATCTTGGTATAATCTACACACCTATAACTTTTGGTGATGCTGCCCCCTGTGTTCCGTCTGCTATAGGGTAAAAGGCCATATTTGTATCCCCCGGCAGTATGCCGATGGGGTACTTTGGATTCAGCAGCGTTACGCCGCCGCGTCATATTCTTGTGTGCATTGTAACTGCCACATTCCTTGACGGATTTCTTTCAAATTTTGTATGAAGGTGTATCGTGGTTTAATCTCAACACTTATAACTTTTGGTGATGCTGCCCTCAGTGTTCCGTCTTCTATAGGTTAAAAGGCCATATTTTTTTTTTGATGGCTTGTGTGTGCTCTATAGGCCACATTTTTCAAGGGATTTCGTTAAAATTTATAACAGAGGTGTATCTTGGTATAATTTACAAGCCTACATATTTTTGTGATGCTGCCTACAGTGTTCCTTCTTTTATTGGGTTAAAGGTCATACTTTGATAGATGTCTATGTGGCACTCTAGTTTGCGGTCTAACTGCATTATTCCTTAACGGATTTCTTTCAAATTTTGTATGGAGGTGTATCTTGGTATAATCTACACACCTACAACTTTTGGTGATGCTGCCCCCAGTGTTCCGTCTTCTATAGGGTCAAAAGTTCATATTTTAGTGGGTGTCTAGTACGTGTGCGCTCTGTAGGTCATACATGTATTTCATGACTTATTTCTTTCAAATTTTGTATAGAGAATAAGAAATGTATCTAGATACAATCTAAACTTTTGGGCTTTGCTACCCTCATTGTTCCGTCTTTTATATGGTTAAAGTTCATATACCGGGTATGTCTTTTATGTGCTCTAACTGTCATATTTTTTGAAGGATTTCTTTTAAATTTTGTATGGAGGTGTGTGTTAGTACAATCTACACATCTTCAGTGTTTGGTGATGCTGCCACCTGTGTTCCGTCAGTTATAGGGTCAAAGGTCATATTTTGGTGGCTGTCTTTTGTGCGCTCTAACTGCCACATTTCTTGACAGATTTCTTTCAAATTTTCTACAGAGATGCATTATACTCTAATCTACACACATATTGTTTTGGTGATGCTGCTCCTAGTCTTGACAATAGTCAGTGAGCCACTAGTGGCGATCTCTATGTCATCCTCTTGTTTCAGGGAGGGGAGAGGGGATCTTTGTCCCTTCTTCGAACATAAGGATGACACAAAATTGCTGCCACTGCCGGGGGATACATTCGCATTGCGCGGCAATACAGGTTGAGATATTTCTAGTTTATGTTATTATTATCATTTGTATGCCTCCTTTCACCGAAGGCGGTGTCGGAGGCATTATGTTATGGGCTGTCTGTCCGTCTGTCTGTCCCACTTTCTAGCGATATAACGCGATATCTCAAGGACCACTTGAGATATCAACGTTAAACTTGATGATAGTATGTATCACCATAGGAAGACAATCTGAGTAGATTTGGTAGTAACCAGGTCAAAGGTCAAGGTCACAGAGGTCAAATTATGAAATTTGAGGTATTCGCCTCGTTGTTGCGATATCTCAAGAACCACTATAGATTCGAGGCTCAAACTTGGTGGTAGTATGTATCACCATAAGAACATGATCTTGTCAGATTTGGGTTTAAAGGTCAACTGTGACAATACTGAAATAATAGGTTTAAGCCTTTTTGTTGCAATATGTCAAGAACCACAAGAGATAGGCTTTTTGTTTTCATCGTGATATGTCACGAATAATTCCATCCATTTCCCATACTAAATTAATGCGGAGGCATTTAGGAGATGCAGTCGCATTTGTCTTGTTATTATTTTTATTGTTATCATTCTTCTTCCAATTATTATTATTATAATTATTAGTTTCATTATTATGAAAATATGTAAATAGACTCAAATATTTTCCGACCTAAGTAATGTAAATATATTTTAATTGATTGATTTATTCACCATCAACAATAACAATTTTTTTTCCTCAAAATATTTCTTTGCTATATCTAAACAAATGTAAACAAAACATTTGCTAAAATCCAGTAAAAGGGACAAGAAAAGAGCACATGTGCTAGTTGAGGCTGGCCCGTTAGCAGTATATGATTAGTGTCCCTGGGTAGCAGGATTTGCGCGATTCAAATAATTTCCATAGACTATGTGGACAACTACATTGTACAACTTGGACAGTTTACCCCTCTCCCCCCTCCCCATATTGCTCCGTTTAGTCTCATTTCACAACGCCCCCTATCGTCAGAGCATGATCAGAGTCAGCAACCTAACATGTTAGCCTATGGACGTTTTTTTAAAAAATCGTTAAAAATTCATTTTTTTTTTGTTTAAACGAAAAGCACATCCACCCCGACGTACGTTATCACTAGCTCTTTCATTGGAGCCCTCATGTCTCATTGACTTTTGAAAGTTCACCCACCGTAATTTTTCAAAATAGGTTGCAAGCTCGTCATTGCCTATAATACACATGTGAAACAAGTCTAACTTTGGACTCAGTTTTCCAAGCGATTTGAAGATTATAGGTCGAGCACACGAAACATGAAAAGCATGAATTATCATAGATCACTTCTGCCTATTTCATTTTGTCCATTTCATCCAACCCCCACCGTAATTTTTCAATTTAGTAAAAGCAAACATTTTGCCGAGGTAAGCAAAAACATGAATATTCATGAACGGTCAGACAATACATCCTTTTAGTACGTAACGTATAGTGAATGGGAATGGGCGATGATCCGTGTAGGAGGTAGAGGTCAGTAGTTTGTGCTGGCAATGTTCACGCGAGCGAAAATGAGACAATCGGAGCAATATGACTGACAACTACCCAAGGACAATTGGTTTGTTGTCGAAATGTGAGAGGTTAAAATATCAGAGGTAAATGCCAGAAGTGAAAATCCTATACATCAATCAATTTCGATAGACGTGTTTCTATTTTGCTTTCATCTATCCTTTCTCTTTAGGTCAATTATAAAAGTAACAGTTAAGCATACTAACCCAACAAAGATCACTGCACTAGATGTCAACATTTCCATGTCGCCCCCTTCCCCCTTCAAATTTTTCATCCTAATTACACTACTGGCTGTTGTTTGATCATAATGATCATTTCGTGAATGTCGCTTCATTTCAAAGAACGTTACTATTCCCTGTGGGGTGCTATGTGACACATTAGGATTCGGTCACAAAATCACTCCAGGTAATTGATTTTGTCACAAATGCATTCTCCCATTGTAATTTTTTCACAAAATCAATCTCACATAGTGATTTTGTCATGAAATCAATGTCACGTACATAGAGATTTTGTCCTCGGAATCGCACATGTGATCACATTCTGTTGGTTCCGTTCGCGGAATCACACCCACGAGTGAGTCTGTCCACGGAATCACTACTGACATTGATTTTGTCAAACCATGAAGTCATTTTGTGAATTCTCGTATCAGAATTAAACAAGGCACTTCCAGATTAAGGATGTTTATGATCAGTGAGACATAATATATTTGAAATGCTTGAATTAATCTAGAAGATAGGTAGAAGATTTCATTGATATTAACAAAAACTTCAAACTATAGAATATA